CCTCGTTAACTTTGTCGATCATAAGAGCAATTACTGCCGCGAATTCCTGGTGCACATAAAGACCAAGCGGCGAAAAGGCTTAAGAAATTCGGAATGTTCTTTGAGAAGCGTTTCGACTGCTGTGTTAATGTACCATGCACAGATGGCGGCGATGGATTTCGGAACATCAATTTGTTCTACAAGTCCGTATGCGTGTCACGGCAGGTGAGCGAAGCAAGGAATTAAGCGTCAAACGGCAAGGCAAAACGCATGCACCGGATGGTTCTAAACATGGCACGCTTTATGAATTTTGCAAGCAAGCTCCCGCAGAAATGCTGGAGAGAAGCGTCGGAATACTTGGCCTAAATGGTGGATCGCAGCCCCTCAAGCTCGAATGTCAACCAAGCATCACCAAGGGATATCGCGTGTTCAGACGCAATGACAATGTCGTGATCGTGACCTAGCACGTCAAGAATACTAAGACTTCCTTCGTCAAGCAAAGTAAATAGTTCAGCTATGAAGAAGGAGCTGAGGAGGAGACGCTGTTGTTTATCAAGGTCGTATTGAAAGCAAAATGCAAGACTGATCAGGCATCGTGGGTACGTGCGCCACATGGCACACGAGGGACTGCCAAGCGAGCGGCACAATAAAGTAAATAAGTACCAAGTGACTGTTATGCAAGTTAACGAGGCTGGTTGAAAGAGACTCGCTGAGGCAATGCGCAGTTCGAAAGCTGAAAGCTGGATAAAGGCAATGCTCGAGGAGATCCTAGCTCCCAAGAACAACTACGTCTGGAAGTAGTCAAGCGACTGACCGGGGTCAATATGTTGCACAGTAAGTGGGTATTCAAGACCAAAACGGATGCGAACGGCGCGGTGGAGCGTCTGAAGAGGCGTCTAGTTGCGTGCGGGAACGAGCAAGATTTCGGCATAGATTATGTGCTCGCTTTCGCTGCCTTTACGGATATGTCGACAGTAAGGTTGATTCTAAAACTTGCAGTGACGTGGGGAGGGTGCCAGCGAAGCATGGTGACATTCCAAACGCCTACGTCAAGGCTGACAAGGAAAAGGACCTTGAGATCCTGCTTCATGTGCCAAGTGGTATGGACATTGAAAATGAGCAATAAAAGAAACTTGGTGCGACCAACGAAAACGAAGCAGCGCACGAGCTACATAAGAGCCTGTACAGACTGAAGCAGGCGGGACGATTATGTATTCAAGTGCTACACGCAAGACTATCAGATGCTGGGTTCAAGCAGTATATTAGTGCAA